CTAATCTAGCTCCTTCACAATTTCAATGATTTGCACATCACATATGAAAAAGTAGCCCTATAATTGAAAGAGCTGGGATATCACATGTATCTTTCCCTCTTTAAGCAATGAACTGAACCTTTACATCTCAGTATGTTTGATTGTCCCTTGACAGTGAGTGTCCTATGCAGTTGAATATCAAATTATTAGTATGATCAAATATGTATTATTGTTCAATCAAACTGATCAACGAAGAGTAATCTTAATGTTAAATTAAATATATTGTTGCTTACATTTTCATCTAATAGTGTTAGATGCAAGCCAAATATTTCCACATTCTTGATATTGACATTATCCTAAAGCTCAAAAGAAATTAGAGAAAATGTGCTCAGAAAAGGCCATTTTTCATTATCTGCCTCGCCATGAAGTTTATAATAGCAATGTTGGCTGTAATATATTGTCTCACCAATATATTGATGCTATAAACTTTGGCCGCATATCTACAAAATAGTCCATCATCATAACACAAAATATGCATACCTCTTTCACTTCAATTCCGAAGATGAAAAATGAATACATGAGTTTTAAATCCAATATGACTGCATATCCAATATGAATACAGTTGGAACATATCAATCTGTCATGAACAATGAGGATGACAATAATGACAACAACACAATAAGCAACACAATGAGGATGGCAACAATGACAACAACACAATAAGAAATTAAACTTGGATCTCTTTGTGATGCTATTACATGCGAAACCCATAAGCAATTACACCAAAATCTCACATATAAATCCATAAAAAACCCATCAATAATTCCCTAGAAAGTAAATTAGGACAGAGAGATTCATGTCGTAAATACAAACTGCTAGCAAACCATGCAGATATTTCCAACCCAAATGTCTCAGTTAAGAAAAGCTCAGCACTTAAGAAATTTAGAACTTGGATCTCAGTTAAGAAAAGCTCAGTTAAGAAGAGCACAACAACTGAAACCAGATTCATAACCAACCGAAGAGCTGAAAGCCTGAAACCAAGGTCGAGAGCAAGGTTGAAAGCATGCACACAATTGAAACAAAGGCCAAACATCAACTGAAACCAAAGGTCAACCATCACTGACCAACCAAATGCCAACCAAGTTTAATTTACATATCTGAACTGATTCGAAGTTTTTGTACTCTCTCGTAATCAAAATATAGTCTTTGACAATGCATTATCAGTCTATTCTTATTGTAGTCATACTCAAAGATGTCTTTTATTTGGATGTCTTTCTTCTCTGGACACTGAGTATCTAAGAATCCCCACCCACTATTTACTTTTGGTAGGGAACAATACTTTAAAAGCAGGTGACAATGTGAGTAGCTAGCATGGCTGTGTGCTTAAGCGATCAGTGGTCGTCTGTGAACTATTTAATTGTCCAACTGAATCTATAAGTTTGTAAGGATGAAAATAGGACCTTGATTTGGACTATTATCACCCATGAATTTTCATGATATCTGCTGTCATCCTTGAACAAATGTGAGCAATAACAGATTTTGGAGATAATATGTAAAGAATTTTTGACATAAACCTACGCGATGGCTAATTCACCAAATAAAACTCATTTTCATATCGAAATAAGTCTCTAAAGCATGGCTTTCAACTCTGTTAAATTTTTATGAACCTACGTGATGGCTAATCAAATAAAACTCATTTTCATAAACCTATGTGTCTAAGAAAACATAAGGTGATGATATTTTAGTCATTGTGGGATCAATTTGTAGAACCTGTAGATTTTTTAAGGCACTTATGAGCAATTTCATATATTTGAGGGACTAATATGAGATTAATTTGAGGGATCTAATATCTAACGAAAGCCCCTCACCAAAAATAATAACCTAAAATTAAAATTAAAGGGAAAATCACTCAAATCATCAGCATGCTTCATTTGTTGTGCAAGCGTCGAGCATTCGCATGTAAGATCACTCCAATGAAACATCTAAAAACAACAAATAACAAAAAATTAAAATTAAAAATAAATTTGGTAAATCTGCATGATAAATTATTGGCCTAGGTTTATGAGCAAACAAACACCTGATGGTATTTGGAACAGTAAGCGACGACACCGCAGAGACCGCAGACCTCTTCGGTGTGCCTCGCAGGCAAGAGGTTCCTCTTTCTTTAGCTGCGCACTCCATTGGTAGGAGGCTGTCGATGTAGTGGAAGAGGAGAGAGCGAGGCGTCGATAAGAGAGGGAAAGCCTAGAATGTGCTAAAGCTCACCGACCTGAAACCCTAGAAGACGATGGAATACGACGAATCTTGGAGGTCACTAGCGAGATAAGAGAGGGAAAGTGAATGGCCCACCAGCGATTTTCGATATCGACTATGGAAGATAGAAATTCGGAGGTCGCTGGCAAGATCGGAGGTCCCAAAAGCATTTTCGAAAGAGAAGGTGAATGGTCGTCGGCAGAGAGAATGGCTTGGTTCTTTTCCCTTTTTTTTTTTTGAAAAGGAGAATGGCTTGGTTCTGATCTCTATATGGGCAAAGTTTGGGCTTTGGGCTTTGAAATTTGAAATTCAAATTTCAAGTTTACCCATTAAATTGAAGTGATTGCTTACAATTTTCAAATTTATGAATTATATATTTAAAAAATTGAATAAAAATGATTAAAATATTGGGATTATTGTAGCTTTTGGGTTCTGCCTTTTATAAAAAGTAATTGATATTATTAATAATATTATATTATATGAATAATAGTATAATAATAATAAAATAACATTATTATAAAAATATTATGTAATATATAACAATAAACAAATTGATATACCAAAATAATTAAATATATAATTATTTTTCATAATATTTTTATAATAATGTATGGACACAATTATGAGAAGGTACGAGTTGTTTTTCATACCACTGGCCAAGCACCTGGGAGTGATTTCTCTTTACTTAGGGATCATTATCCAACACTGCAGTTTGATTCAGGAGAATATTCAGTAAAACTGCAAAGGATGATTATATTACAAGTCTACTAGATCTTCTCAAGTGTAATGTGACCATATATGCATATCGACTTGGACAAGAACTTTCTTGGCAGCTATATAGTACCCCGCCTTTTGCATCAGAAAATGTTGGTTAAGTATGAAACTTGTCCAGTTATCCTTAAAATAAATGTTGCTACTAGAATGTTGAGATGGATGAATGTCAACATGAAAGGGCAATTAGAACTAGGATTGCGGTGGACCATCACGAAAATGGATTGAGGCAGCGAAAAAGATACTTCAGAGCTTGATTTTTTTTGTTTTTTTTTTGGGTGGCGTGGGCGGCGGC